CCCTGGGCGCCCGCGCTGCGCCCGCGCCCTGAGGGGCGCGGGTGCGCGCCTGAGACGTTCGTGACCAACGAGCGCATCTTCCTGGACCGCCCGCGCCACGGCTTCCCCGGGCTGGAGATCGCCAGGCTGGCGCGCGGCAGCATGTTGGACCGCCTCTTCAAGTTCAGTATCCAGGCAAGCGCGGCGCGAGCTCGACCTGCCCGCGATGCACGCGCACTGCCAGTTACGACGCGGAGGACCCTCGGCAGCCAGGCGGGACAATATCCGCCCCCTCGCCGAGGTGAAGCAAAGAGGCGGGTGGGCCAGCGATTCGTCTTTTCGTCGGCAAGAAGCAGCCGCGCGCCTTCAACGCGAGGAAGCCCGAGTATACAGTCCCATAAGGGCTTTTGCCTGTCCGCCATCGCCTCGTTGCCGACCAACCTTGGAGCCTCGTTGAGCCTGTTCCTGGAGCGCCTCGGGAAAGGAACTTTGTTGTGGAAATCTTCTCGGGCCCGAGGTTCTCCTTGTTTGTGGCGGCCCAATGTGGATGCATATGTTTCGCCGTTGACATATGCGACTCGCCCAATCAGAACGCCCCGCGGACCGACGCATTCGAAGCCATCGAGGCACTCATCGCACATCCCGATTGCAAGCTCGTCTGGATGGGGGCCCCTTGCGCGTCGTGGTCGAGGGCAAGACGGGGGGGCGGTCTGCCCCCCGCCCCCCCCACCCCCTCTGCTGTGGCTTCAGCAGCGGCCTGCGCGGACTCAGCGGCCCCAGCTTCTCGCGTGCTCAAATGTCACGGTCGGGAACCAACCGATGCATTTCCGCCGGACTAGCTCGTTGGGTCGCCGCCTTCCGACGTCAGTGCACCACGGGAAATCCAGCAAGCTCGAGAACATGGCTGACTGCAGAGCCCAAACAGTTGGAGGCCATAGGCATTGTAACATACCAATGCGGGAGGCGGCGCCCCCCTGGCGTTAGCCTGTTCGGCCCCGGGGCTAGCTGAGCTCCGCGGGCGTCGCACGGGATCTGGGCGCTGCGGTTTCTCAGGTATGGTGCACGAACAGCTTGCGGGCAAGAGCCCGCAGTGCGACTTCCGAACGAGGGCCGCTCAACCGTACCCCTCGCTCTTCTGATCGCGCGTTTGTCAGATGTCGGGCCACGGCAGGTAGCTTAGCATCACGCGCTCGCCCAACATATTGTACCAGCCATGTTTCGCACGTCCAGCGCCAAGTTATGGGGGTTTGGGATGTTTTCACCCAGGCGCTGCGCTCGCTGCTGCACGCTCGTGGTCTCGCGAATCACTTCCGTGCCAGTGCTGGCGGATATCAGTTTGTGGGGCTCGTGGCCTCACCTCGGCTGGCGCTCGTAAAATACAATGACCCATTGACACATTGGCAGTGCGTGCGCGTTGCTGTCGGTCGCCGACGTTCCGACCCCGTCCGTTGCTTTGCAGTTGCTCGTTGATCCCCAAACCACTCTTTTTCTCACCCTCCACCATCTCAGACGCAGTCTGGGGCATTTATCCTTGGCACTGCGCTCGCTGCTGCACGATCGTGGCCTCGCGAATCGCTCCCGTGCCAGTACTGACAGATATCAGATTGTCGGGCTCGTGGCCTTTCCACGGCTGGCCGTCGTAAAATAGGCGGGCTCATTCATACATTTATATTTATGGATATAGTTATATGTATATACACATGCATATATGTACATACAATTGAATATACATACGTACATACATTTAAATATGCATATATATATACACATAGGTAAACGCATCCATATACATATATATATATATATATATATGTATATATATATATACACATACATACACCTGGCGCGAGCACTGTTGGCTCAAGATTCCACGCCTCGAGCGCAAGCGGCCCAACGGCGCGTTGAACCATCTTGGCGCAAACTCGTCATGGAGTTGCGCACCGCGCGTCCACGGAGTGCTTGAAGGGGACCTTGTGTTTCAATGTTGGCTAGGCGGTGCACATATTATTCATCATTCGGTGCGCAGTTTTTCTTTTTCTGAAGGTTGCACGGCCTTGACTGGGGCAGACGAGCTGGAGGGCACTTCGAATTGGGGTGCATTGGGTTTGGTCATATGTCAAGGATGCTCTGTGCAAGTCCCGTCCCAGGCCGAGGGCTGGGTTGGAGGCGCGCGGGCTTCGAGCCAATCTAAGCCCTTCACCCATCGGCGTGGGCGTACGTTTTCCGGTTCGGCTTCGAGAGTCGCGTCCCAGGCCGAGGGTTGGGTTGGAGGCACGGGGTTTGCGATCCCATCTAAACCATTCACGTTTCGGCCTGGGCGGACTATCTCCATTCGCAGCTGTCAGAAGCGCCACCTGTCTGGTCGGCCAGTGGCGATCATGCATGTTGTTGAGACGATTTCTGTCGAGGTTGCCCGGTGATGCTTGGCTAGGGCCTTATGAAGTCGATACCGTTCCAGCTTAGGCGGTGGTAATTTCAGACGTTGTGGTTTTGATAGCGTGGCTTCAGATCTGGATTCGTCTATATCATCAGTTCTGCGATTCGGTGTGTGTGTTGCTGGAATGCTACATTTGACTCTGATGAAAATGGGAACATGATCATCTCCTCTACTCCTTCCACCAGTACCAGTTGCACACGTATCCTTCGTCATCTGGGTGGTGTGACAGTTGTAACTAATTATGACTTCGTCATCCTATCATTCCCGTTCCCATTCGCCTTTCTGGTTCCCCCTCTCATCTTTCCTGTTTCTCCTCCCCTCCTACTGGTGTCGGAGCAAAGCGCTCGGCAAACGGGGGCGGTTACCGCGCCAGAGCCCTGGCGCCGTCCCGTCTTCGCCGGCCGCGCGTTGCTGCCCCTCTGCTGCACCGGGCGTCTAGTTTTGGTGCGGCCGCCACGTTTTAGTTTCAGTTCGCCATCGTGTTTTCGTTATTCACCGCCTCCACGGTCGTGCGCTGTGGGACTCGCGGCGTTAGGACCGCACGCCATTCGTTGGCGCGTGCCTTCGCCCTTTGAGTTTTTTTTGTTCAGTCGTTGGTCCAAACCTCGTCTAATTGTGGTACGCTGCCCCCCGCCGCATGGCTGAGGAACTGTGGCCGTGGCGTGTTTCGACTTTCGCCCGCCTTGCTCGCCCTGCCGGCGCAGCCTGCGTTGTGCATGTTGTTCCCAGAGAACGTGTCCGGCTGTGCCTGTGCAGCTCGTGTTTTGTGCCAGTCGCTTCTCGCATGGCGGCCGCATTTGGCATCTCGCTTCTCCTTCCTCCTCCTTTCGCTTTGCTGTTCCCTCCCGCCACATTCCTTTTGTCAGTGGCCCTAAAAATTGGGGCACGTACGTGGGACACCGTTGTTCCGCATTTTTGGATACATGCGGAATATCACATAGTATACAAAAATCCATTCAGGTTGGCAGAAGACAAGAGGAAGAGAAACAGGAGGAGAGGTTGACGCAGAGGCAGGTGAGGCATATGTTTCCTCTGGTCCTACTCCTGCTCCTTCCGTTCCAAGTCCTCGAAGCAAGCTGGCATACACATAATCATTCGGAGACCCGTGTGGATCTTTAGGATCGGCGATGGACGCCCCTGGCGGCGCCTCCAGCGCCGTCACTGGCGCGCGCCGCCTTTGGCGCGCGCTCTGCGCCAGGAAGGGGGTTCCAGCGCCGATCCAAGAGAACCGTGCGGCCCTCCACAAGATTATGATTACGTCGTTCTGTGTATGTCTATTCCATCCCTCTTCCGCCTTCCCCTTCCGCCCTCCTTCCTTCCCTCCCGTCCCCCCTGCTCCACACTTCCTCTGCCTCCTCCCCCCCTCTTCGCCTCACCTTGCCTCAGAACATCTCCGAGACCACCCTCCCTCCAACGACGCCCCCGGCTGTCCCCTGAGGATCTCGGCAGTCCTCAGGGTTTTTTGGTTGTCCCCTTCTTCAGGCCTCCAGAGACCAAAAGGGGGGGAACTATAATGGAGTACGTCGATCTTCGATGGTCGAATCGAGGATCGAGTTTGTTGTGACCCGCTTCAAGCGACAATGAACGCGTACACATGGGGAGGAACAGCATTGGGGAGGGATAGATGGAGAGAGGGGAGAAGGGAGGGATGTAGGAGGGACGGGATGAGGAGGGAGAGGGGGCTGAACGGGAGGAACCAGACGGAGGAAGAGGTAGCAGGGTGGAAGAGGGAGGAGTATGAGTAGGAGATGGAGGAGGATGAGAAGGGAGCAGGGTGGAACATGACCAGGAGCAGGAGGAGGAGGAGGAGGAGGAGGAGGAGGAGGAGGAGGGGGTGGAGGAGGAGGAGGAGGGGGTGGAGAAGGAACGAGGAGGCAAGAGGAATTGGAGGAGTGGAGGGAGGAGGATGAGGATGATAAGCAGGGAGGGGGAGGAAAAGAAGGAGGAGGAGGAGGAGCATGACGACGACGACATATTTTCTTATCTTCCCCCCGCTCTTGCTCTTCCTGTCCTCTTCTCCCTGGGGAGCGCCCGACGCGCTTCTCTGGCCTGCCATCGCCTGCAGCTCGCAGACCATTCTGATGTGCCCAGGTCGCTGTTGACTCAATCAGGGGAGGAAACAACACCCAGACCGGACATTTGGCGTTTACTAAACGGCTTCGCGTGTCGGGGCGGTTATTATCGGGGTGGATGTTCTTCCCTCAACTCAAGAGTGGAGGGACGGGCTTGACAGTTTCTCGCCAGCAGACTTGCGGTGATCAGGCCGGACACGCCGCCGCCATCGAGGCAAATCCATGCACGCCGACGTGGGTCTGCATAGGCCCAGGCGAGGCCAGGGACCCCCGGAGGGGGACGGCTGACACACACACACACACACACACACACACACCGTGGACGCTCCAGGCGCGAGCCGAGGGACAGCACACGTCCTGAAGCCCTCAACGAGAGAGGGCGCCGCGGCGCGGAGCCGAGCCGCGCGCCTCTTGCGCTTGGCGGGCGGGGCCGCGGCGCCGCGTTCCTCGAGGGGGGAGAGCGGGTTCGGCGTCGGCGTCGTCGTCGTCGCCGTCGTCGAGGGGGCGGGCAGGCCCGGCCGCCCCAGCGGGCGGCGCCGTGCCCGTCGCGGGGGCAGCACCGGGGGTGGGCCTGAACGCCGGCGCGCTGCTCGAGGCACGCCGCGCCGGGGTCGGGAGCCCCGCGGCCTCGAGGAGGGGGGGGAGGCCAGGAGGGAGGCAAGGAGGGAGGAGGAGAGTGGGAGGGAGAGGGGGGGAGGGGGGGAGGATCCTCGCTCTCGAATCGTGCAGACGTGAGACTCGAGTTTGCCGTCGCTTCTTGACGGGTCCGTCCTAAGTGTTGACGATCGAGTGTTCGTAGGATGTTTGCACCGGGAGTTCGCGTCAAATTCTCATTGACGGCCCCGTCAGGCCAACCCGAGTCCCCCGAATCCTAGTTCGACGTTTCGTTTCCCCCCAAGTCCCCCGAACCCGAGTCTTACGTTCCCCCGATTGAAGAATGGGTGGCGGCCAAGAGGGGGGGGGGATGACTGGGGGAGAGGAGAACAACAATCAGGACGGAAGGTTTTTGGTAGGTTTCGGTCTTCAGGGACCTTTGTTTGGCCTCGGGACCGTCAGAAGCCGTCACAAGACGGCTCGTGATGAAAATCCAGCCATGGGGGGCATCATGAGTCGACATGCACCAGGCGTCGAAGGGCTGGGTGAGGACTTGGGGGGGACCATGGCTGCTGCCCTGATATCTCCCGGGATGTTATGGCCCCTCTTCTTCTTTCGATCCGTTCCTTAGCCCCCCCCCCGTCCGTGCTCATGCCTTGGCCACGATTTGCGAACCAGGACCTGTGACGCCGACTGCTCGATCCTCGCCCCTCGCTCTTCCTGCTGTCCTGGCCCCTCCGCCTTTTCATATCTTCGCTCCTTGCTCCTCCCCGCTCCTCCTCGCACTCCTCCCCCTCCTGGGCGAGGTGGGCCTTCCCCCCCCCCCCCCGCATCTCCGCCCCGCTCCTCCGCCCGCGCCCGCGCCTGCCCTATGCAGGTGTGCCGGCGGGGCCGCGGGCACCCCGGCTGGGACTTCCAGCCCACGCTGCAGGCAACGCCTCGGGGGAGGTTGCGCACGGTGAGTTCGCGCCGTGTCGACCGGCGGCGTCCTCGCCGCCGGCGTTCCATTGTTGACCCGCCGCCGGCGACCCAGAATCGGTGGATGTTGATGGGTTTGTTTTCCACCACCACCATAAGTTGGAGGGGGAGGGGGTCCTCCTCCTCCTCCTCCTCCTCCTCCTCCTCCTCCTCCTCCTCCTCCTCCTCCTCCTCCTCCTCCTCCTCCTCCTCCTTCCCCCCATCCAACTTATGGTGGTGGTGGTGGTGGAAAACAGGCCCAGTAGATGTTGAACGATCCGACGTGTGGATAACGGTGCATCGTTCCTGGTTGAATGATCCCAGCGACGTCAGGAACCAACGCCGAAGTAGGCATGGCACGAGCCTGCCGTAGCAGAGATGGGTCCTGAGATGCTCGCGTCATGAAAACAGACATGACGCAATAAATTTCGCCGTGCTCGGTCGTCCTGGGGCCCTGGCTGGGCCCCAGGACCGTCAGTTACCGACTCGAGGTTGAAACCGGAGAGGGTCGGGTCTTTCCAGGACCTCGTAATGAAGCAAGCAGGACATCGGATGTTTGGAAGGTTACTGGAGGTAGTTTGGGTTGCTTGTTTGTTCTTGCCTCCAGATGCTCTCATGCTCCTCGTCGAGAGCTTGCCAGGGGTGCCCAGGTCATGCCGATCGGCCGCTGGAGGCATGAGTTACGAGTCGAAATCCACCAGGCGTCGAAGATGACGGTGTTGCGGACTAGGATACCTATCATGTTTTGGGCCATGGCATCTCCCAGATTTCATCGTCCCCTCTTCTGCTTCCCCCCTCTCGTTCGCGTGCATGCCTCGGGCCATAATGCGCTAACCCCCCTTCGTGCTGGCCCCCTATGGGCGCACCAGAGCCTGGGGGGAGGGGATGAGGGGCGAGTGACGGAAGGAGGATCAGATTAGGGAGGGGGAAGGGAGGGAGATTCAGGGGCTGATGAGTAAGTCTTGAGAGGATTTGGAGGAGTTAGGCGGAGGAGGTGCGAGGTTCGAGCATGGTTGAAATCGTGCCCCCCTTGTCGTTTTTACTGAACGCGGCCCGCCAAACTGGCCAGGACTGATCCCATTGGGAGGGGTCTGAGGGTCCAGCTACTGATTTGGCGCGGATTGAGGGAAAGCGATTTTGGGTGATTGTTGGAAGTTTCGCCTTCCTGGCCCTTTGAGGTCCCTTGGCCGTCAAAAAAACAAGGCATGGTGAAGAGCCCGTCCCAGGACCAGCCCCAGAGGTCCTCTATCCTTTCTGAAGATCGTGTGTAGACAATGGTTGACGTCCGCTTGGCGGGATGGCGTCGTCGGCAGTCGTCGCCCGAACGGGTTGTGATGCTGCTCCCCCCGGTAGAGGGTGGACGCTGGGGCAAAGAATATGGCGTGCGAGCGTGCCTGTGTGTGGATGGCTCTCAGATCTCATGGCTCTCACTGCCTCTTCCAGTGCGCTCCCTGGCCCCCCATCGTCCGCGCACGTGCCTCGGGCCATGATGCACTGGGTCCCCTCTTCTCGGGTCGGACAGAAGGGGGGTCGGGAAAGTTGACGATGTGGCCAACCTGCGGAACTGTATCCTTGAGTTCGAATTCGACCTTTGTCTAGGACGGCGGCACTGAGCGGCACTTGGGGCACTTGGCGGCAAGCGCGTTTGTGACTCAGAGGAGGAGGAGGAGGAGGAGGAGGAGGAGGAGGAGGAGGAGGAGGAGGAGGAGGAAGAGGAGTGGGGAGGGAAGAGGAGGGAGGAGGAGGATTGGGGCAGATGGGGTCGGCCGTTTCGTTCTCGCCGCATGGCCGCTGATGACCGCTAATGGCCGCTGGTGGCCACCGCAGTCCGCTAGTGGCCCGCGCCAATCAATGGCCGCGACAGGTCGTTGGTGGCCATTGCGTTGCTGCTAAATGGCCGCGAAATGGCCGCTAGTGGCCGCGAAATGGCCAAGAAATGGCACCGGCGGCGGCGGCGCCGCTAGTGTCCGCTAGTGGCCGCTTGTGGCCAGAACAGGCCGCTGAATGGCCGCTGACTGGCTGCTGAATGGCTACTAGTGGCCGCTAGTCGTACGCGCTAGTGGCCGCTACAGTCCGCTAGTGGCCACTAAGTGAGTGCCGCTACATCGCAGTTTTCGGAGGTCGCGATGGTCAGTGCGAAGCTCCCCAGAGAGGCTGCAGAAGGGAAAGAGGGGATTGCGAAATCTGCTCCATGCAGCTGGTTCCGGCCGGCGCCGGGAGGCGCCGTCAAAGTCCCCATCTCGTCTTACCCAATCTTCGTGTTCCCCCCCCCCTCTCTCCAGCGCACGCGAGACCCGTGCCCGCGCCTCAGGTGATCGACATGCGGACCGGCCACCTTCTGCTCCGCCGCCAGCGCCCTCTCCTCGTGCACTCCTGCACCATGCACCACCTCTGCTCCCCCGGGGGTGGCTCTCTGGGGCCTTCCCCTCGCCTCGCCGGGGCAACGTGGGATGGGGGGATCGGGCGTGTTCGCTGTCTCTGGGCGGCTTTCCTACCGTGATGCTCTCCAGCAGCTGCGCCTGGCCCAGAGCGTTCCAGGGTGCCCCATAGCGGAAAACAAGGCAGGCAACGCTCAGGGGAGATAGGCTCAGGGGGGATGCCCCGAGATCCAGTCTCCCTCTCACCGCCTATTGCTGGCCTCCTCCAGCTCGTCTGAGATCGCCGAAGAAGGAACACTTACATAAACATAAATAGTCGGAGGCTCGCGCTGATTTCTTGGAGCGGCGCTGGACAGCCCTCCCTGGCGCACGGAGCCCGACAGGGGACGGCGCCGGCGGTGCTGGACCCCGGCAGCGGGAGCTCCGAACATTTATGTTTGTGCAGTTTTCTCTTCCTCCACCCTGGCCCTCACCCCGCTCGTCTGCGATCGGCCTTTCCTTCCTCCCATCCTCATCTCCTCTGCCTTCGCGGGCGTTTTCTCGCCTTCCATCCCCGACGTTTCTTCCCCAGTGGGCGAGGAGGAGGAGGAGGCGGAGAAGGAGGGGGCAGGGGGGCAGAGGGATCAGGAGGGAGGGAGCAGACGGAGGAGACTGAGTAAGAAGAGCCAGGACGGCGATGAGCAGGAGGAGAGGGGGAAGGGCCGGGGAGTAAAACAAGAAGGGAGTGAGAAAAAGACGGACGATTTGGAAGGAGGGAGGCGGAGAAGGAGGAGGGGAATCAGGGAAAGTAGGAGTAAGGGGGAACGGTGGACGCGAAGGGCGATTGGGGGGGCGGGACTGGGGAACAGAAGCAGAGGGAGGCAGGAGGAGGAGGAGGAGGAGGAGGCGAAGGTGCAGCAATCAGGACGGATGACCACGATCATGCAGGAGGAGCATGGGGTGACGAGCAATCAGGACGGATGATGACGATGATGTGGTGGTGATGATGATAATGATGACGATGGCGATGACGATCTCGATGAACATGACGATGATGATGCTGATGACGATGACGATGACGATGATGATGATGGTGATGGTGATGGTGATGGTGGTGAGGATGATAGTGAGGATGATTATGATGACGATAGTGCTGCTGCTGCTGCTGCTGCTAATGATGATGATGATGATGATGATGATGATGATGATCATCATCATCATCATCATCATCATGGTACTAATGATGATACGGATGATGCTGCTGATGATGATATTGATTGTGTTGGTGGTGGTGATGGTGATAGTGGTGGTGGTGGTGTAAAATGATGGTGGGTATAATGATGATTATGATTATGGTTAGGCAAATGATGATGACGATGGTCATGATGGTGGTGGTGGTAGTGATGATGATGATGATGATGATGATGATGCTGGTGATAATGATGATGATGATGATGATGATGATGATGATGATCATGATCATGATGATGATGATGGTGATGGTGGTGGTGAGGATGCTAATGAAGATGATCATGGTTTTGGTAGTTGTGATGGTTGTGACGCTGGTGACGGTTATTGTGCTGGTGGTGATAATGGTCATGCTGATGATACTAATGCTGCTATTGATGGTGATGATGATTGCGGTAATGCTGGTGGTGATGGTGATGAGATCGTGATGGTGTTGGTGAAAGTGACGCTGATGGAGATGGTTATAGTGATGGTGATTCTGATGATGATGATATTTCTGATGATGATGATGATGATGATGATGATGATGGTAATGATGATGGCGAGGTTGGTGATGATGATGATGACGACGGTGATGAGGAGGATGAGGATGAGAATGAGGATACGCTGTATGAGCTGCGGAGGAGATGGAATGCAGTGGGTCTTGAGTGCTGGCGCGCTTCCTCGTCACGCAGGAGCATGGCCTTCGGCGGCCACGGGGGCCAGAAGATGATGCTGGCGCGGGGGTGGAAGCTCAGCAACAAGGGGAGTCCACGACACATGCGTACGAATGAAAAGGGCGGTTGGAGGGCGGGGGGATGTTGATGATGACAATGATGACTATGATCTTGATGATGATAATGACCATGCTGATAATGATAAGGATACTGATAACGATGTCGAGCCTGATGATGCTGATAAGGCTGATGCTGGTTATGGCGTTGATGATGGTCATGATGATGATCATGATGATGATCATGCTGATGATGATAAGGATTATGATGACGACAATGCTGATGATGATGCTGCTGCTAATGATGATGGTGATGGTCATGGTGATGGTGATGATGATGACGATGATGATGATGCTGATGATGATAACACTGATGATGATGCTGATGTTGCTGATGCTGATGACGATGGTGATGATGACGGTGATGCTGATGATACTGATGATGATGGTGCTGATGATGATACTGATAATGCTGATGCTGCTGCTCATGCTGATGATCATGAGACTGATGACCATGATGACCAGCATGATCATGATGATGATGATGATGTTGATGATGAGTATGATGATGAACACGATGATGATGATGATGGTGACAGTGATTGTGATGATGGTGGTCATGATAATGAAGATGATGAGGATGGCGAGACTGATGATGATGCTGATTCAACTGCTGATGTTGATGGTGCTGGTCATGATGATTATGATGAGCATGATGGCGATGATGATGGTGATGATGATGATGATGATGCTGATGAGGATGATGATTATGCTGATGATACTGATGATGATGCTAATACTGGTGATGATGATGATGATACTGGTTATGTTGCTTCGGCTGCTGATGCTGATTATGATGATCATGGTGATGATCATGACCATAATCATGATGATGGTAATGCTAAGGATTAGGATGATGCTAATAATGATGGTGCTGATGGTGATGAATATGGTGATGATGAAGATGAGGATGATGATGATTATGATGATGCTGATGCTGCTGCTGCTGATGATGATATCGTTTGATGGTGATGTTACTAAGGACCATGATGTTGCTAATGAGGGTGACGATGATGGTGGTGATGGTGATGATGATTGCTATGGTGATGGTGATGATGATGATGACGATGAACATGATGATGATGATGATGCTGGTGATGAGAATGATGTTGTTGATTATGATGATGATGGTGTTCATTATGATGATGGTGATGATGCTGCTGATGATGGTGGTGGTGATGATGATGATGCTAATGATGATTGTGGTGTTGGTGGTGATGATTACGCGGAGGATGAGGAGGACGCACATGCATCTCCCGCTGCTTCTTGGAATCGTGCCATGGATCGCACGGCTTAGCTAATCCGCGCATGATGAGTTCCCCGAATAGTCTGCTGTCCCCACAGATCCAAACGCCAGCGTCCAACAACAACAATCATTGATTGAGACTCGTGACCGACGTGGACTCTTAACCCACGCGGAGGCCTGAGTGCCCTCCCCACCTTCTGGAGCTCCGCGCTCGGCGACGTCAGCCAGGAGATCCTGGCGGCATCGGTGGCAGAGCAGCGACATTTGGTGCACCTCTCGCTAGTGTCGCCCTGCTTGTGGATGTGGGCGAAAAGAACGGCGGCGGCGAGCGGAGGGGGGGACGCGGAGGCGGGGGGGGCATGAGCAGCAGCAGGAGTGCGTTCATACTGATTTTCAATCCTGCGGACTTGCGTGGACGCCTCCATCGCAGCCCGCGTAGATCTCACTCATCGTCTTCGGACCAACCTGGTCATGCTTTCCGCCTCAGCCTCTTTTGCTGTATCATTTTCAGGAGCCCTGGACGCAAGTGCGGCTTCACCTGCCAACGAAACTGCCGCTAGATTACCTGCAATGATCCGGCTACGGTACCCATTCACTGTCATTTGGGGGGACGCGGGAAACGACCTTCAAACCGTAACTGGCCCAATGCTAGAGAAAAAGAATATCGCGCCAGATTTGGGCGACATGTAGGCTGCCCAGACAAACGGACGAGGCAACCCCGAACAACCTCGCTGTTATCCGAGAGCGAAACAGACGAGTTTTTGAATTGGATGTGCACTTTGCACAAACTATGGCCCAGGTGATGGGCATCAGAAGTGCGTAAGGTGATTGCGCCCCTTCTTTTGATGACAGTGCATGTTCGAACTCATGGGAAATATGGTACCAGTGGAGCCAATCGTACACATTCGAGATCGTAAAACAACCATGTATTCAGACATCTGAAGTTCGGCGCTCCGGCGCCCCCGCCGAGATCTTAGAGGGCAGCCTTTGAGGCGCACTTCGGCGCTTGTCCTGTCCTGTCGTCTTGTCCTGTGTAGATCAAGTCTCCCAGGGAAAACCGAGTTGCCAACTCGAGCCCACGAGACCGATGGCTACAGGGCATGTGGGAAATAGCACGCAGAGCCCGATATCCACTTGCCTCAAACGGTGATCGCGATTGTCTTTGCCTCCAGGCGCGTCGTCACAAGCGATGACAGGCAGGTCTGGTGGTCCAGCGCCTTGCACTCCAGGGGCCAAGCCCGTCGTGAGAATAACAGAGCTGCTCCAGCACTCGTCTTGTGGCGGCTGCTGCACCTGAGTCCGCGCTACAAAGATCAAACCTCCAAGCCAGAAGCAGGCCTCCGATTCCCCCTGGCCACAGCGTTGGTGGCGAGCACATCGGAGTCCAGGTAAGCGGGACGATTGGAGCAACTGGGGCACAGCCAGGGCGCGCGATCGGGCGTTTCAGGGTCGGGATCGCGACCAGCGAATGTACTGCGAGGGCACTCGCTGAGTGCAGCGAACCCCGCCTGAAACTTCCTATTCTCCATCCAGCATCCCCCAGAAGCGATGCGTACCATCACTTCCGCCAAGTGCCTCCCGTGCTTCGCGCCCTCCAACTGCCTGACAAACGATCTAGTCGAGAGGTTATCCAGCCCGCTTCCTATACTTGCTCCGCAAACATGCTTCAGTTAGGTTATACTGCTGAGCTTCGAGGGTGATCTGAAAATTGCCCGGTAGTCCCTCTGCCTCGTCGACGTCGATTGAAATTGAATAGAGCCCCTGCTGGAAAAGTCCATCGACAGTCGTGGAGATTGCCTACCGCCACTGGGCCCTTCCAGTCGCGGGAAGCCGAGGGCGTTCAACCTGCGGTCAGCACTTTTTTACGCGCGCGAAGAACCCCTGTGGCAAGGGGGGGAGGGGGAGGGATGGGTGAAACGAGGGGGACGGAGCTGCCATAATTAATTCGCTCAGTCAGGCGACCCAGCCGTCGCCGCGAGCCGCCGGCGCAGCGCTGCGCGCCGCGCCGTTCCGGGCCCTCCGGCCCTCTCCGCAGGTGCCAGCGCCGGCGCGGAGGCGCGAGGCGGCGGCGAGACAACCCAGCCAGGGCATGACCGGGCACCAGCACTTGCCGACGCGGGGCCTCCGCGCCGCGCCGGAGGCAAGCGACCCAACCAGGGCCTTGCGAGGCCGCGTGCGGAGCGCAGGCGCCACCCTCGAACAAGGCGCTGGCAGCCTCGGCGGCGCCTCGCTGCGGCAGGCCTTGCCCCGCAATCCGCGGCCGCCGGGGGCGGGGGGGGCGGCCGCCTGGCGGGCGCGCCAGCCGCTGCGCCCTGGTCGGGCTGGGCAGAGAATGACCGTCGTGGCGGCGCTCCTATCCAGCGCCGGCGCACATGGGGGGCGCCTGGCCCCTCGGCCTTTTGGTTTACCCACAGCGCGGCCAGCTCTAGGGCCGCCAGCGGCCGCTGGAGCACCCGGAGCGCGCGCAGCTGCACCTTCCGCCGCGCGCAGAGAGACGACGCGGGAAGCTCGGCACACGCCGCGGCCCCGCTCGTCAGCCGCGCTGCCAGCGTGATCCTCCGGCCGCACCCCGGGCCGCCGCGGCAGCCTCGTCGAGGTGTCCGTTTCACCCATCGCGCGGCGATGTAGCCGCTCTGGCAATGCGGCGCCAGGACCCCCCGCAGGCCTGCAGGCGCTCACTCGAGGGGGCACGCGCCAGCGTGCAACGCGGCGACCCCGTGGCACGCGTACTCGGAGTCGGAGATCAGCTCCAAAGGGGCCCCGGCATCGCCGGCGGCGTGCACGGCCGCGGTGAGCTCCGCACGCTGCGCGGTTTGGGCCCCGCCGAAAGGCCCGAGACAGCGCCGCGGCTCGCCGTTGGGCCCCGCACCCCCTACCCTGCCCGGGCCAGCCGCAGATCCGCGGGGCGCGCGCAAGCGCCGTCGCTCCACGCCCGCACTCGGGCCTGTCCGGGGCCCGCGGCCGGGGGCGGCAGCGGGGGCGGCGGCAGCTGCCGCTGGGCCTGCGCGGCGAGCACGGCCAGGCGAGCGTCCGTTGGCAGCGCCCCCGAGAGCGCGACCCCGCGGGGCAGGCGCGCAAACTGGGCGGCCACGCCTAAGCTGCCTGCCCGCAACTCGGCGCGGCGGACTGGGCTCCACTTGGGACACGTCCAGAAGCGGAGCTCGCGCGTCTCGTCCGAGGCGCCGCGGCGCGGGCAGCGGGAAGGCTGGCCCCACTTCGCGGCCGCCGTCTCGGCGACGACGTTCCCCGTGAGGACCGCGCGCAAGGCGCCGGCCGCGTCCGGGGCAAGTTTCTCGCTTCCGAGCAGGCGCCTGGTGCCCCAGCGGTCGAGCCCGTCCGCGACGTGCCCGAGGTCGGCGCGCCGCCTGGCCACCGCGCGCGCTTCGCGCCGCGCCCGGGCGTCCAGAAGGGCCGCGCGGGTGTCCTGCAGCGAGCGGTCGCGCGGCCGCCAGCCGCCAGTTTCCCGCGGCGCGCCCTGCCGGCACTCGACGTCGCCGCCGAGGGCGAGGTCTGCTTTCTGCCGCGCGGCCGCAAAGGGCCCCTGCTGGCGGCCATGGCCTGCGCCCACTGCGCCTGCAAGGTCGCGCCAGAGCTCGGTCAGCAAGCGCCGGCGGCGCAGCGCCTTCGTCGCTTGCCACAGCGGGGCAGGGGTAGCGACCGCGGCGTGGCCGAGGCGCCAGCTCGATCTGAACGCGCCGA